TGCAATATCCAAATTTTAAAGGTATTCTCCAGTCCTGCTAAAGAATAGGGACCAGAGTATGCCTTACTCCTCTTTACTGTCTGTTTTATGTCTGTCAGTATTTAATCACACAATTTTGATCCCTCACCTTACAGCCAGAGTACAAGATTGCTGATCCCATCTGTACATATGTATTTTCATTACTTGTGGCTTTTACAACATTTCGCATCATATGGGACACAGTAGTTATAATACTAGAAGGTAAGATCTCACTAATATCCCCACTGTGGATTTATTACTTTCCTAAATTGGATGGAGGTGGGGGGCATCTAGGGTAGGAGCCATGTCTTTTCCTGGTTTTTTACTAATACTTATGAGACTACAGTGCTACCACCTTACGTGTATATAAACATAAGAATAGATGCACTCTCCCATCTGTTATCCATTTGGTCCTTATAATAGCTAAGAAAAGTGGGTAAGGCAGACATTATTATCCCCATTTACCAACAAGAAAATTGAGACTCAGAGGGGTAGCATCGCTTAAGGTAACGCTACTAATAAACTGTAGAGCTAGGACAGGAATGCAACTCTTTTGATTCTTAAAGCAGATATATTTAGGGGTTTATTAATTCCTTAATATGCATTTGCTACTTTGTTATATTTTCAGCATCCTTGCTTTACTAATATTAAGTGTAAGAATGTAAATATAAGTTCTCAACAGTAGGTTTATCATCACTGTATTTTTTTCATCTATTCTAGCTATTTGTTAATTAAAGTATTCTGGTATGACTAACATTCCTTTTTAATGAAAATGAACATTTAAAAAATATTAACTTCTTGTGTATATCTGCTATAGGTGTTCATGGTTTATATTAAAGTATTAATATATTTTAAAGTATTCATTTAAAATGAATTTGGCAAAGCCATTTGGTTTCTTTTGAAAAAAAAAAGTCTTATTAATAATGTATAACTTTTTTCCCCAAAATAAACTTTACTTATAAATGATATATTCTGAACTAATAGGTGTACCAAGGCATTTGAATGTAGACTATATCAAAGAAGCTTTGATGAAAATAGAAGATGTACATTCTGTGGAAGATTTAAATGTCTGGTCTCTCACTTCAGGAAAACCCACTGCCATAGTGCACATACAGCTAAGTATGTCATTGACGGTAAACGCTGGGGTGGGTGGACTTCTATCTTTGGAATTAAAATCTGTGCTTATAATTAAGTAGGAAGACGTTTCTGCTGGAAAGATTTGTTTTAAGGGAGGTGTGGGCTCTTCAAAAGGCGAGTTGCAGGTCAGTATTGATAGCAGAGCAGTAACTTTGATCTCTTTGAGATGAGACATTACACATTTTTGCCTTCAGATTAAAGGCATCAAGTATATTTACTTAATATTTACTTAAATATTTACCATACTTTTTCTACATAAGAAAGCTAGACCCTAGGTTTTTATTTCTTTATTTTGTAGATTGGTGCTTTTTATTTTATTTTTTTATCAAAATAGCACATGCATGTGGTTTATTTTAAAAAAGTACAAAAGGCGAAAGACTTGTAATTGATGTCTAGTATTCTTTCTGTACCTCAGAGTGGACTGGAGAGATTGAGATAATGATAGGCCATTCTGGCTTTGTATTATGCTGACACACTTCTCTGACAGAATAGCTTCAAGAGGGTAGAAATCAAACTAATAAAAATATATTCACGTTATACTAAGATTGTTTTTTTCCCTCTTCTTATTTACTAATGTGTAACTATGTAAAATGAATAGTAATGATATTTTCTTGACATTGCAGTTCCTGGAAGTTCATCTAAATGGGAGGAAGTACAGTCCAAAGCAAAGCATATGTTATTGAACACATTTGGCATGTATAAATGTACTATTGAGCTTCAGAGTTACAGGCAAGAAGTGGACAGAACTTGTGCAAATTGTCGGAGTTCCAGTTCCTAATTTTAGATGTTTGGGGGACTACTGCCTTATTTATCCTGCAGTCACAGACTTGAGAGCAATAAATGCACACCTAAATAAGAAAGTAGACTCCCTGACAGCTGTGTCCATGTCATGCACCGGTCTTACAGTCAGCCCAGTAGTTCTAGTTTCTGTTTAATGGTAAAATGAGACTTCATCATGGTTTTCAAATGAAGATATTTCCAAAACACGGTTTACAGAATGAGACGTGATTCTACAGTTACCTCATAGAAGACAATCCAAGACCATACTTTATTAATTATGACAGAGTACATGTCTTAAAGGAAGCATCAAGAGTTCTGTGTTTGCATTTAAAAGTCCTTTTCAAAGACCGTTTTATATCAAGCCAGTGCTGGAAAACTGAATTTTTTTTTTAACATAATCTTGACACCCAGCTTCTGGAATTTGCCACCAAGCTCTTTTTTTACAAAAATTATTTCTCAACTGATTTCAGAAAGTACTAGTAATTATCCAGAGTGGAATAAGCATGTATTCCTAAGTGTTTCAGAAATGTTTTATTTTACAAATAAGTCTTAATGTTATAGTTATACTTTATGAACAACTTTTTCCAGTTGCTACAGGGTTTTAAATCTCAAAGTTAATGTTATTGGTTATTTGTAATCTTATCAGAACCAAATCTTTACATTTTGTGGTCACTGTCATGAAATTATTTAGGAAATATTAGGAATAATATTTTCAGTGTTATTCTAAATGGCAGAGAAGTTGAACTCAAATTACTATATGATAATTTAAACAAAATATAAGAGCAAGGACAGAGGATGGAGTTTCAGATCTAAGTCTTCCTGAAATCACTTTTATTCTTCATGGAATTTATCTTTACTTAAGAATAACAGAGACTGCAAAATGTAAATGATGATGCTCTGTCTTTTTAAAAACTGCCTTACGCTTTGTACCAAAAGTTTGCCTGGTACTTTGCTCCCTGCCGCCATACCAGTTCGTGTGTGTGTGCCCTTTCAGGGCAGAACTCTGGAGGGCTGAGGTTTCGTTTGTGATACCCACCTCTCACAGCGGGGATTAACCACATTCCTCCAGAGAGAATTTCTGTTTGATGACATAGGTTAGGGATTCTCCATGGACTCCAGAAACCCTAAAATATAATTTTGAAGTTTTTTAATAATACCATAGTAGCAATGCTCAAAGGGATTGGGGGAAGAGAAAACAAAAACTTCAGGGGTTTTTGACTCTGTGTTTGTGTGTGTGTTAAAGCACTGAAATAGGGTGGATTAAATGTGTTGTAGGGAGGCTAAGCATGTTTCCAAACTGAAGGCAACCTAATTGGTAACAGTTTAATTAAAGAGGCAACCATGAATATTCATGTTTCATTTTGCGGTTGGTTTTGAGATTATCTTTATGTACATGAGGAGTCCATTCAAAGTAAACGTGTACCACACAAGTTGAGCCAAAATCCTTGATAGGTGTGTGGATGACTTAGAACATAAATGAAGGAAACATTTCAACTTTCTACCAAGTACCTCGCTATAAGTAAACCTAAGATAAAACCTGAATTTACCTAAAAGATTATTAAGAGTTGATGGTATCCAACAAAAGAATTGATATGGGTTAATGGCACCTTATAAAGCCCAGTGTTTATTGAATTGAGTTGAAAAATGTATGGGATTCTTACTATGAATCCATTTAAAATAATGATTTTAATTTTTCAAAAATCAAAAGCAAATAAACTGGTTAAATCAAAATAGTCAAATATAGAAGGCAAGTAAGAATAACAGAGGCATTTCAGTGCACATCTGGGCATTTATGGATTTGGGTACCTACCAAGAGAAAAGACTATTCATTGTATTATCATAGATTTTCCCATATTTGCAGTTGTTTCTCGTATCTACTAAGCTTGTTTCTTGTAAACTTTCCTTTTTCTTAAATAGGTATATCTGACTTTTCACATTGACCTGTTCCTTGAAAAGTTTTGGGTAAAACAATCTAAAATCCACTTGAGGATTGAAAAGGATCCTTTTGTAAAATGCAGAAACACTGAAAACTTTTGTAAATCTTAATTATCATGTTCTGTTTAAAATGAGGTACACATGAAGTTTCCTGTGCTTTGTTTTTTGTAGCAAGTACAGATTTTGTACTTATACTTTACTAAGTCTGTGAAATATGAGAATTCATAGATTTAACTGTAACTTGACAAAAGCCACAGAGAAGGATGTGAACCTCGCAGATAGGAGCAGGGACTGCACAGTTTCTGACACAGAGCATTTGGTGTGCCGTCACCTACAACCAGGAATTATGCTCCTCACCCAGCTCTCAGAGAAACAGCTCTCCATTGTCCTTTGGGAAGCTGTGGCTGAGTGTGGATAAACATCTAGCATTGTTCCTTTTTCCCCTGGGAAAACAGATCCCAACATAAAAACTGGGCAGTTTTTCAGTGCGGTGTGTTTTAATTAACATTTGCAAATAATCAGAGTTACTTGTGTTCATAAACCTGTGTTTCACAACTCTGGCCAGATGCAACCTTTTGATTAATTTTAGGAAAAGTGCTATTGTTTCATTATCGACTGAGCTGCCTTGGAAATAAAATGTGGGGAATGTAGTTAAATAAGGCATATTTCAGAGAGCTTTGAAATGCAGAACCACCAGTGACTAATTCCCACGTACATTTTCCATTAGCTATGCGTTGTATAATGTGAGTCCAGATTCTCACAACTTGTATTGTTTCCCAATCAGTATTATTTGCCAAATCACAGGATTTCTTATTTTGCTGTTTCTTTTGCAACTTTGGATGCTTTATTTCCATTTTCTAAAACAAAGTTGCCTGCTCCGAGGAGTCCCAGTGTTCTGGTTCTGTCTCTTGAACCCAGAAATTTTTCTGTTGACTGTACCTCACACATAGTAAATGTAAAATTATAGAATGTGTTCCTAGGTATTAGTTCATGTGGTTCAGTTTGTTTTTGAACCAAACTTAGCTCATGAGCCTATTGGGTATTAGTCACAAATGGATAGTGACACCTTGCAATAGGCTGTGTTGAGGGGAGGCAAGTCTGATCTCCAAATAATTGATTAACCAAAATACCATTGGCAAACCCTAAATAGAGTTCTGTCGTGTGAATCCCACCAGACAGGGCTTCAGATTTGTTTTACAGATCACCGGTCAGGAAAATTGTTTGTGACGTCGGTAGGAGCATGTAAATTGGACAGAAGAAATTGTGGGAGTTTCTTCAGTATTGAATTGTGTGTGTGCATTCAAGCCAGCCTGTCATTGAATTCTTGCTTACAAAGGATCTAACTTGTTTTTCGAATCATATTGTGGGGACCAACAATTTCTGATTTTTGGTAAGACTGGAAAACATCTATGGAGACTTTCCCAGTTAAATCTCTGACAGTGTCAATTTAAATACTGCAATTAAGTGTGTTCTGAAATAGCTACAACACAAAATTGAAAAGTGACAGTAAGTCCTCTTTACACTTGGAAGATACTGTACATCTGGAAACCTTATGCTTCTCTAAATAAATGTTATTAAGCCATATCACAGTTTAAGAAATTGTATATGCTTTTCGATATACCCCTTCAGAAACCAGGTATTTTGCATATGATTGATTTTAGAAAGATTTTGAAGCTGGGGTTTGTCCATGTAATTTAAAATCAAAGTATAGTATATGTATATATACTGTATTTGCAATTTTTAAATTGTAATTTCCTATACACTTATTACAGTATTGTTTTTCCATGTGGTTTATTAAAAAATGAAAATGTATGTAGTCCCTCAAATTTGTTTTTTAATTAATTAATAATAGTAGGCCTTGAAACATAATCTTCTTAAAAAGAAAATCATTAGAAAATAGATGATAATCTATCCAGTCTTATAATCTCTGATTATAATGCCCTCTCGGATGTTTAATAAAAAAGACTGAAAAAAATCTTCCAGATAGGATAAAAAGACATATTAGAAGGACGTTCACCTTTTTTATTTTATATCAGTCACTTTTAATGTCCCTTCATCCCCAGCAACAGTGGCAGAAAGGAAAAGAAAGAAGCCCAGTGTAAGACTGGTGAGGACGGTCATGAAGAGTGTAGACCAGGGGTCCGCAAACTACGCCTCATGGGCCAAGTCAAAGGCAGCTTGTTCTGTGTGGCCCAAAGCACTGAGAATGTTTACATTTTAAAAAGGTTTTTAAAAATAATATTTCATGATGTGAAAATTACATGAACTTTAAATTTTATTGTCTATAAATAATTACTTGAACACAGCCACACTCATTTGATTATGCATTGTCTGTGGCTGCTTTCATGCAGCAGTGGCAGAGTTGAGTAGTTGCAACAAACATAAAACATACTATCTTTCCCTTTATACGAAAAGTTCGCCAGCTCCTGGTGTACCTTGTTGAACTGTTTGAAGGCTGTAACGTCATAGACGGCTCACTTAGAAGATTCTGTGACTCATCAGCCTGAGGCTACCTGAGGTACCAAAGGTTCTTTTCTTCCCTTGACCTTTTTTCTTTATCTCCCTTGGAGTTTGGGGCAAAAATGTAGGAAAAGAGTAGCAAGTTTTTAAATATCTATGTGCCATATCTAACGTTCACTAACTAGCAAAGCAGTTTTCTACCCAGAACACTATCATCACCAGAATCATTTAACGATACTTTTCAACATAAAGCTTGTTCACTTGATTTTTAAATTGTTCACTGAAGTTATAACTTAATAATTTTAATTAAAATAAAGGAAATAAAAATGTATGTATGTTGAGTACCTTATATAGTTTATGCCAACTGGGAGCTCACAAATGAAAACATTTTATCTGCTAAATGAGATGAAAATTGGTTTTGAGGCTTTTAAAATAATAATGTTCTTTCAAGTTTTTCAGTTACCCAGGAAAAGACTCAACTATCTTTAAAAATACTAATAAAATAGTTTTAGATAAGTTATAACGAGATGTTGCATATTATTTGATCATCTACCTAGCTATATTTTTATCTTGATGGGTCATTTTTTCAGTCCATGTCAGATACTAACAAATTCTAATTTGGGGTAACTAACAGCTTTACAAGCTCTTGATTATGCTAAACTTTCAGCTTTAAGATACTAGTAGAATATTTTTGGTTATAATTCTAACTATGATCTATTATAATTGCTGTAAGCTAGAAAATAGGCTAAGTATAAACAGGAAATATGAAGCCTTATGACTAAATATTATCTCTACATTTATCATGTGTTTAAGATTAGCAGGTTTTAAAATCCAGCCTCAGTGATTATCACCAAAGATCTCATCCTTTTCAAGCAGCATTCTGGTTTAAGGCTGTCATGTGACTTTCACAGAACATAAGCTGTAAAGTTTGGCCAATGGAAAAAATACGTGGGGGTTGGTATTCTTCAAAATATATTGAGCTATTCCTTGGTAAGAAAGTAGGATTTTTTTTTTTGAAGTAGGAAATTTTTAGGGGCCTCATGAAATTAAGATAGACACCTCTGTTCCCTTGACATTTCTAGGACTGAAGATCTGACCCCACCTTTCTCTATCATCTTTGCCCCACTTCTTTTCCAGAGGAAACCTGCTAACAGGTAAATGGTTGCAGGGATATTTGCCTCTGAACAGTGATTATAGCGAATGTTTGACCTCAATGAAGGTATGAAGTGGAGTGAAGAGAAGAGTTTCCTGGACTTCCATTCATTAATCTGTCATGTTCACCTGTGCAAGCGACAGGGCAAATCCTAGTTCCAACAGGCTCTTAACCTGTTACAGCTTGACTGAAGGTTCAGAATTATGAGAATACAAGCCTATTCCATCCTCTGCTTTTTTGTGTAAGAATATTTTGCAAAGGCCAGGATATTTTTTAAACCCCTAAGATAAAGCATTATAAAATTTAAAGTGTTCAGTGATATATATTTGGTTTTTGACACATTCTCATCTTTAAGATATATTTTATTGAAATTGGGACATCTCAAAAAGTTAGTTCAATTGGTTGGAAATGGTTTATTCTAAAGTGGACTGAGACTACTTTTAAATGCCATCTATTTTATAATCATTCAACCAAGAATTGATCTTTGAAGGCCACCTCCTCTCCACTGAACATGTTATTGAATAAAACACAAAATTCCTATGTATTTTTAAAATTAAATAGGAAATGAAACAACAGCATGATGTTTTGGGAGAGCATTTTGGGCCATACCTTCATCCCGACAGATATAAGGTCACACCCCACCCCTGTTAGGGATGACTTGAGAAACTAGCCTATAGGATAAAGTCCATCCCCTTGGTAATGACACACAAAAGCCTTCTGATCTAGTGATTGCTTACTCCACCCCAGTTCCATCCTCTCCACCACCACTATCCTACCTCCCATATATCAGCCATACCAAACTAGTCAACTTTTGGTTTATGGAGAAAATAATCGGTAACATTTATTGAGCCCATACTGCATTTTAGACACTGTGCTGTGCACTTTATTATTTGATCCTCATGATGGAACTCTGAAGAATATTATAATCTTCATTTTGCAAATGAAGAAATTCAGACCAGGTGAAGTTAAGTGACTTGCCCAAAGTCATATAGGTAGAATTGTAAGGCAAGAATAGGTCACAGACAACCCTTAAATATAGTTATAACTAGGAAACATGTAATACAAAAGCAATCCAATGTAGACTAATGTACTTAAAATCACAACCAAATTTTAGGCAATAGATGTATAAAAGTAATGTAAGTATAATGATTTAGGAACACAATATAATTACATGTATGCTTGGCAAAAAAAATAGCCAAATGTTTACTGGTTTTTAACTGAGTTCTTGTTCTTTGAGGCATCAGAATGGTACTTTGGATTTCGCTGCCTCCACTTGACTGAACTATCTCCCCTGAGGTCACTGGTGCTCTTCAAAACCACTGGACAGATTTCAACTCTTTGTTAGTCCCGAAGGAAGTAATTCAAGGGACTGGCAGAGTCAAAACAAAATGCATAGGGCGTGAATCCTCAAGGCAAGAGAGGCAGACGCCCTGGGATAAGAATCTGAAATATGTAGAGAGATTGTGCAGCCTACACTTGATTCTCTCCTTTCCCAAACTAGTACCTTTCCATACTCTTGCCTGTATCCTCCTGGTTAGCAATCTCACACTACCATTCCACCTTTAATTTTTTATTTTTTAACTTTATAACTGAAGTGTTACATGCATTTTCAAGTGCTCACATCAAAGATAAATTATCATAAAGTCAACATATAACCACCCAGGTCAAGAAATAAAACTTGTCTGGCCCCAAAAGGCCTTCTCATGCCAGGTCCCAATCTCTGCCTCTAGATAATGCTGAATAATTTTTCAAAGTTGTATCAATTGGTACTCCCACCAGCAATGTCTGAGAGTACCTGTTGCCCCACGTTTCTGGCAACTTGGCATTGTCAGTCTTTTAATTTTAACCATTCTGGAGGATATGTGGTGGTACTTCACGGTAGTTTAAATTTTCATTTCTCTGATGAAAATCAAAGTAAAGGGAAAGATCTCCCCCAAGTGGCTAAAATCTGAATTACCTGGGAGGTGTTTGGGAGGTTTTTGTTGGGGTTGTTCTTGTTTGTTTGTTCCAGAATATGTAATTAGGCTTCCACTCTACTTGAGGCTTCCTCCATCTCTTTTCCTACTATGAGTTTCTGAAAATAAAAAGTTGACCATCTTTCATAAATCGATTGCACATTGTATGTCCTCTATTACAAAGAGCACTTATAAGTCTCCTTGCTCATTTTTCTATTGAGTTTTTTTTATATTAACCTGTAAGAGTTCTTTATGGATTCTGACACAACCCCTTTGTTAGTTACATGTATTGTCGTACACATCTTGTCCATCTTTAACGGTAAAATCAACTCTTTCACCTGTACAAACAGGAGGCTCAACGTGTTCAATTTTGTCATACTCAAAGCAACCAGTAGATGGTGTCCTAGCCTTGCTCCTGAGCCTTCCACTGGTTGTGTCTGAATTTCAGCTAAATCTCCCAAAATATTTTGCAAATAAGCAATGTTAAACAGTGAGAAATCAAACTTAAAACCATGATACAGCTGGATGGAATATAGCTAGAACTGGGTTTCTTGATAGGAACAACACAATTTTTTTTTTTTCTCAGAAAGACTAAAAAGGTCTTTACCACACGCGGGAAAGCCAAGTGAAGCTGTCTAGAGGAGGGGCACAGAGCAGAACACACTGAAATGCCCTCTGTGAGTAATCTACAGGCCAATTTTAAAAAGAGAGAATAAGTACCATGCATCTGGACACTGTCTCACGGTTTACAGAAGGCAGGTAGGTATCCACTAGCACAGAGTCCGAAAGGAGAGCAGAGCAGAACGGGGGTTTGGTCAGGGGGTTATAAGTATTTTTTCTACCTCCTTTACCTTAATTCCTCTTCAGTTTTGTTTTCATTAATTATATTTTGTGATTGCTTAAAACTGACTTGATGAGCCTCAGAAACCTAGTGGGAAATCAGCCCCACTTGCCGGGATGGAAGAGGTGTTTGTAGGTGAACATGTTTGAATCCTGAGGTGTGGTAGGTGACCGGCAGCCTACCTCCCTCTGCCTCACCTTCTGCCCCCACTCAGGATGGATGCTCCCCTGAGCTGACCCCCCCAATGAATCCTGAACAGACCTTCCATCCTCCTCTCTATAAATAAAAACAAAAGTAGCCAAAGTTTTATTTCTTTACCTGGGTGGTTATATGAATGAGTGAGTGAGTGACAAAGCCCTAGCCTTCCTGAGCTTAGAAATCAGAGCACATGAACTCCACCTAC